GGTCCCTTGGGGAACAGACACTGAGATGGCATTAGATACACAAGTAATTTATTGGTGACAATGCCTATAGGGGAAAATGGAGGGGGGCTGGGAGAGCCGTGAGACTGTGATGCAGGTGGGTCTGACCTGTGTGAAGGAGAGGGAAGGAATGAAGGTCTCAGACATTGGTGCAATTCTAAAGCTTCAGCAAGGCTGAGAGGCAGCTCTCAACCCAAAGTCTCCAGGAGTAGGCCAGCCTTTGTATCGCTGCCCCTTGGCCATTGGTGGGAAGCAGCTTTTGGGGAGCACGGCCTGGTGTAACCAGGGTCTCCTTATGTTGATTGATTATAAGAGATCTAAGAGGCCCAATTTCATGGCCACCAAACCCAACTTACTAATGTCTCAGGTAGAAAAGGTATAGTCCATATCCCCTCCCAGAGGTCTTCAGTCGATTTGAGCCATAGTTGCCTGCTGTGGTAACCTATCAGTATCCAGAATTGGCCAAAAGTTTGCGCAAGTCTTACGGCAACAACCTTCCTTAGAATATATTTGAACGTACAATTCCCTAATTTTGTTTTTTTAAGTCAGATATATTAAGGTATGATTTATAAACAGTTAAGTTTACCTTTGTACAGTTAAGTGAGTTTTGACAACTGAATAATTTTGTTTTAAATGCTAATTTCCCTTGAAATCGTGAAACTCTTATTAAAATGGTCAAATGTTATAGAGCTACAATGTACACTATGAAAATGTACGTTGCTACTTTGTAGTGGTTCTTCACGGGGAGAACTCTTCTGGTCTCTAACATGGTAATATCCATAGTAAAGGGAGTCTTGCCATTTGCTAACTATGACAAAGAACATTTGATCTGTTTCAAGTAAGTGCAAATGAGGACAAGCACTAGAGTGACATGTAGTGAGAACAATGAAATATGTCTGAATGTTTGGGGGGTCTTATACTTCAATAAAGCGGTCATTGTCCAAAACCTTTTGACACTGCCCTCTAGAACTGAAACTGGATGCTAGGTTCACAGCTGCTGAGAGCTGCTTCAGACCACTCAGCAAAAGCAGACAGTCTAAATATTGTTACATGGGATTGGTATTGATGTGCAATGTAGACCGGTCCTGAGGCTGTTTCTGAACTCCCGGACCTCAGTAATTTGTATTGGCTTTCCCTCAGCCCTGTCAATCCAAACTCTAGCAGAGGCTTACAGGATAGAATCATCTAGTACAATGAGAATGCCTAGCACTCTAATTCTTAGGCTCTTTTTTGAAAGTATCTTTAGGAAAATGTACCTTATTTCCCATGTTTAATGATTCAAAATACATAGTAAATGAGAAAAGTTTTGACAAATCCTGCAGAAACCATTTTAAAGTAGTTTGCAAAACATTTTGACCTTGAAGGCTTACGTGCTTTGGGACCCTGAGCCAACCTGAAGGGTGAACATCCTATGATTCTAATCTTAGTAAGGCCGAGCCCTGTTTCTGGCTCTGATACTTTGATTTCCATGAGAATCTTTGTGTTTCATTAAAATGAAAACGCTCCAGTTTTGTCTTTCACAAGTTCCCCGTTTGCCTTGGTGGCAATTTTCTATCTTTGGTGAGTAATTTTTCAGTTTGTGAATTTTTATTTGACTTTCTTCTCACAATGATTTTGCTCTCAAGCGCTTACTAGATTTCCTATTTACAGGATTTCCATTTTTCTAATTTAAAACCTTATCCTTCACTGGTTATAATGAACTTATTGGAAGCAAAAAGCTAACATTATTCGTTACCTACTGTCTTGCCTTTCAAGACCACAGTTTTCTCTTTAACGAAGAGCCATCCTTTTCTATATACTAACAGATCTCTACAGATCCTGATCCTGATATAAAAGTTAGCTGTAGCCTGTGTAACCCGAAAAGAGGCTGGTAAAGGTTACTGGATCAAACTATTAATATTTCCCAGATTTGCCACAATTTCTAGCATCTTTAACAAGAAAAGCCAGACTATACAGAAAAGTATGCTCTACTACTAATTTGCATGGTAAACACCTGTCCAAATTCATAGTCATGTACTGTATGGTATAGTTTTTTTTGTCATTGGGAAACCATGAATCATTTCTAAATAAAAAAAAATCCTTGCTATAGTTTACATGGGACATACTATTAGGTGGGCCTTATATTGTCGCTATGTGAGAATATTTTTTACCTACAGAAATGGCAATTGCATGTTTCAACATAATACAGACTTGCCCATAGGATAAATAACTTGCTCCAAATCAACATCTAAAAATTAGGGTATTTGTCTTCAGTTCGTTTTACTGGATGTGATATCTGAAACACCTGTCTGGCACTGTTTTACTGATCTCAGTCTGTCCCTTGATGGAAAGTCACATAAGCCTTCTATTAGTTTTCTGTGGCTGCTGTAACAAATTACCACAAACTGGGTGGTTTAAAACAACAGAAATTTATTACAGTTCTGGAGGCCAGAAGTTGAAAATTAAGCTGTCAGTAGGGCCATGCTCCTTCCAAAGGCCATAGGCCCAAATCCTTCTTCATCTCTTCCAGTTTCTGGTGGCTGCTGACATTCCTTGGCTAGTGGCCGCATTGTTCCAATCTCTGCTTCTGTCTTCACATTCATTCTCATTTTCTTTCTCTCTCTCCCCGTCTCTTCCTCTCCCCCTCCTTTTCTCCCTCTCCCTCTCTCATTTTCCACTGCCTCCCTATTATAAGGACACTTGTATTGCATTTAGGGCCTATCTAGATAATCCAAAATAATCTCAAAAGCCTCAACTCAATCACATCTGCAAAGAATTTTTCCCACCTAAATTAACATTCACAGGTTCTAGGAATTACGATGAGAATATCTTTTTAGGGTGATACTTGTAGCCTCACTGGCCCCTCATTACTCAGTTTCAAGGGTCAAGAGGGTGTTGGTCTATCTCTGCAGGCCCTTAGGATCTCACTAGGAAGTTTGTGCATGCTACTTAACGTGTATTTTGTCAGCTATCCCAAAGACACTTAAAAGTTTGGTGAAAATTTGTCCAGCTATTTTCGAGTGCTGTAACAAACAAAAGTAGAAGTATAAATAGGAAAGAGGGACAAGAAAAAGAAGAAATAACATTTTAAAAGCCACTAGTAATATGACCTTTATGTTTTTCAAATCCTGGGCATGTGCTTAATTCATGACTGAAGTGATCTGTTTCTAAAGGATTTGGAAAAGCTGTGGCCTTCTAATAACTCTAGGAATAAGGGTCCTGTTACCCCCAAGTTTAATTGGAGGAATCAGTAATTCCAATGCAGAACCCAGAAACGTGGACCTCAACCTCCTTAGTCCAAAATCAAAAGGAACAGGGAATAGGCAGAACACTTGTTTCTAGAAGAGCCTATTACCTATGCTTCTGAGAAAGGAGGGGTTTCTAGTGTAGCCTCAGCCACAGGCATGGCAGAAAAAATCTTGGGCTTTAGGGTAAGCAAGTTTGGTTTCAGGTTCCAACTCCATTTGAAACTGAGTGATTTCAGTTGTCATAAAAGGTACCTCTCAAGTAATGAGTTTGATAACATCAACATCTGTCCTGGAGCCATTCCCTTTCATCCCCCACCCCCCGGCCCCATGCATATCTGGACTATAGAGACATTATACCTGAACAGGCAACTAAGAAAAATTCCATTCTCTTCCACTCCCATTTAGTTTTCTCTGTCAAATGTAATCCCCAATTGAAATGTACTCTTCTGGAAAGAAAAAAACGAGTAACCACGAATGAGTAGATTATTTCAATATTAGCTTAATTTTGAGGTTGCTGTTGGTAGCCACTACAAAGAGCAAAACAGTTTTCTTTTTTAAAGAAAACAGTACTAAATGAGAGAGAAATCCCCTCCAGTTCTCAGAACTAAATCCAAGTGTCTTTTCATTTCTCTTGCCTAGGAAGTGGCTTCTTTTCTAATTAATTATGGCTATGTTAGTGTCCTGAAACCAGGGTGGGTCCAGCTTCTCTAAAATGGATGAAGAAATGTTAAATCCAGTCACATGAGAGGGCCTGAAGGAGGAAATAATTTTGTGCAACATACCAAATTTAAATTCTGCTTTTGCTGTTAAAACAAGAAGGGGAAGAGGTAAAGAAAAAGCAAAGGCAAGTGGAAACAGTTTCTCAGAGTGCTGGGTTCTTCAGGTTTTCAATTCCTTTCTGCCCTGTTGGCTTTGACTTCATTCTCATATTTAGGTCTCTTATATGGAATCAGGAAGAGAAGTCTATGGGACACACTGATATTAGCCAGCAAAGCATGATTTGTTGAAAACGAAGATGAGATAAACGGGTTAGATGCCTTTAGTTACTAAATTCCACGGCTGGCAAACGCTATCCGTCATTCAATGACAACCACAGTTGCCTCGGCGTCGGTACAGCCATGTTTTTGAGTCTTGAGATCCTGGTTTTTGTCTTCCCACTCTCCATCGTGTGTTCAGCTGCGCACTCTCTCCTACCGTACTCCTGACAGCTCCAGAACACACGCGAAGAAAAGGGAGTGAACAGAACTGTTCGAAAGCAGGCATTAGTTTTTCTTCCTGCTGCCTACCCAGAAGCTCACACTAAGAACCCGGGGCTGTTTGCTGCGCGACACCATGGACAGCTCTTCAGGCGCCACCTGGTTGGCCCGGCCTGCCGACCGTCCCGAGCCCTCCCTTCGCGGGTCCAGCCGGTGGAGGCGGCAGGGGGTGGTCCTGACGCCCAGCCGGGCACGTATCAATACTCAGCCCCCACAGCGTCTCCCCAAAGTCCCTCCCCGGCGCTCACGCTCTCAAGAGCCCACGTGAGGGGGCCAGGGAGGCCGGATCCTCCCTCTTTTGGCATCCCTGGCGGTGGGACCTGCAGCTGCGGCCGGGGGGGGGGGACACGCCGCCGGAGGCGAAGCTCGCCCAGGTGGAGGCGGCGGCAGCGGGCAGAAGCCTGACACCTCCCGGCAGACCAGAGTGGGCGGAGCCTCCCTCCTCACGCCCCGCCCACTCCCCGCGAAGGGCGGGTCTTCCGCCCTCAGCCGTGGCGCAATGCGGAAGAGATGGGCTTGTTGGAGCGGAAGTGACGCTTCCGGCGCCTGTGGCAGCGGCGGCTGCAGGAGAAGGAGGAGGAGCCGGAAGAAGAGGTGAGCAAGCCGGCGGGGGGCGGGGAGCGGCTGCGGCCAGACCCACCGGCAGCCTGGCGGGCGCTTCCTGAGGCAGTCTCCGCCGCCGCAGCCTCCCCGGGAGCGGTGAGGAGCGACCGCGGGCGACCCGGGTGTGGGAGGCCGGGCGGGGTTGTGAGGAGACCACCGGCTGTGAGGGGCGCCGCGTTGGGCCGGGGGCTGTGGTGACAGCGGCTGTCAGCTTGCACGCAAGAAGGAGCCGAGTCCTTCTGGGTGTCGGGGTTTCTCTTCTGGTGCATAATGGAGGGGTTGGGCTACTCGGCGCCTTCGACCCCCTGGGAGGTTGACTACTCAGGACCCCCGAGGACCCCAGTCGGGTCCGTTCCCCGAGTCGTGACTTTTCTTGGGTGGCCATTAATATTTATCGGCTCCACCTGCCGTCCCCCCAGCCGGTGGTAACCTGTGCCGCTTCCCTTGCCCTTCATTGCCGCCTCTGGGAAAGCCCGTGGTGGATAATCCTTGCCCTCCTCCCGCCCCCTAAGGAGCTTTGAACCAGGCTTGTTAACCTTTCCTCCCACCTCCTTTCCTTTACCCCCAAAGGAACGCTTAAAGTTTCCGAATCGGTTCCCTTTCAACGTAGTGACAAATCTCGAAGCAGGAAGCTGATAAACAACTCCGAACGAAATAGGCTCCAAAATTTTCCTTCCAGTAAATATAAATTAAACGGGAAACTCATCTTAACACAACCGTTCGTGGACATAACAGTGCCAAAACCTTGTCTTGCTTTGTCGTGAGAATTGGTAGCTTTTCTCTTGCTTTTTGGTAAAATTAAGTGACGACTTATCTTTTGGAATAAACCATTCTCTTCCTGAGCTCCCTTTTTTCCACCCCAACCCCCCCCCCCATCAAAACCTGGCAGGGAGGGACTTCTGGATGCCTTGCGGTCCTCGCTGCAGAAGGAAACACCAGCTTGATTTGCTTTGCTTTGCTTGGTTTTCACAGGGCTGCCTCTGAAGAAAGGAGAATGGCGTTCAGCAAAGGATTTCGGATCTATCACAAATTGGACCCCCCACCTTTCAGCCTCATAGTGGAAACTAGGCATAAGGAAGAATGTCTCATGTTCGAGTCTGGGGCTGTAGCCGTGCTCTGTAAGTCATCTGTGACAGCCCAACTGGTCATGGTCTCTGTTTTGATTTGTAGTAATTCAGATGCAACCATTTTTTAGAAAAGACTCTGACAACCCTTTCACTGTATTTCATCTAGCAGATCATACTTTTTTTTCCTTTTAATCAAACCTTCCTGTAAACTTTTTGTTAACAGGTTTTTGTTGGGGGAGTGCAGGGAGGTGCAGGTTCGGGTAACATGATTTTGCATTCTTGGGTTCTTCTGCTTCCAAAAGTAGATCTTTTTTCCAAAGAGACTGTTGCAGTTTATATTATATCATATAAACTCATAAAATGGCTTGCTTAATATTTTTCCTGTAATGAACAGAATTTCTTGTAGATCAGTTATAGTAGTAGATATTATCTAATATTATCCAATATTATCGGAGTGTCTTTTGTTGAGGCCCTTATATTTTCATTGAGAGAATTGTAAACGTCTAGAATTTCATGTGAGATATGTGATTGATTTCATATTATTTAACAATTATTTTGACAGTCCAATTTAAAGAAAAGGATTACTGCATCACAAGAAAAATAGACTACTAAGGTTTGGGTTATTTTGTCGGCAGATGGATGAAATGAAAATGACTAATTTAAATATTATGGTTCGTTCTTAATGCAAGATTTAGGCAGATAGCCCCAGTTTGGTGTTATTTCAAATGTGATAGTATTTTTTAGAGATTTTCTAGTGTTAACTACTTGTTCTTTTCATGTTTTTTGTATGCGAAGATCATTTTAGTTACTGGTTCTATATTATAAATTAAAAAGTGTTTGAAAGACATGCTTGCAAATACAAGCCCTTACATATTTGAAACTGTTAACTTTCTCCACACTTAATAAGTGAAGAGCAAAAGGCCCTAATCTTTGCATACAGAATATTAACTTCAGTATAAGTTAACCTGACTAAAATAGTTTAATTTTATCCTGATGCGGAAAAGGGTAGTAACATAATGAAAATCCATAATCAAAGAACGGTGTATAAGAAATATATATTTTCGAGACATATGTTAAACATGGTTTGAATGAAGGAGAGGGGTTGTATGTTTTGTAAGAACAAGTATAAACAATATTCATTATACTCAATCAGTATGGACTTAATTGCTTCAAATTGTTTTTATATTTAAATAAAAACCTTGCTACAATATTAATTTCCATAGCATACAAGTATAATTCTTATACTGATAAATTCTTAATTAAAAATATTTGGGGAGGGCGAAGGTTTGGTTTAGTGTGGAAAACATTTTTCAGCTGCTTGTGTCTTTGGTGACATTACCTTATTTACTGATCTTGTCTAAATTCTAATGTTTCTTTAATTGTGGTTATTCATAATTATAATGAGAAGTCAAATCTTCAGCTACAAAATATGTATTACTTATAGTTTTTAGGATTATTGCTGTACTTTACTCCGAGGTCAGGAAACCTAAGAATAATTGTCTTTCCAAAACCTCCAGCAGCCATATTTTATGCCAGATAATGGTGTTTTTTTTGTTTTCTTGTTTTTTTTTTTTAAAGGCCCCAAAACATCCATTTTGGCATTAATATTCATTTTAAGGAGAAAGAATATTTAAATGTTGTCTTTATTATTTATTCTATTTATTTTCATTAGATTTAGACTATATAAGTAATTCTTCAGAGAAAAATGCTTGAATATTGCCTCTTTCTGTAAAGCAAGCATAAATGGATATATAATCTGTTTGATATGTTACTATCTTTCCTTCTATAAACTTTATAGTAATATTTAATATTTAAGAGCTAACGAAACTTTCTTATCAATCATTTGACTTATAAAATTATTTGGCCTTCAGTTTGGACTGATACTAATGTTTATATTGTGCTATACAGTGTTTGTTTTTTAAAATCTTCACAATTTTTAAATGCCTGTTATATTGAGGGAATTGTGCTTGGAAAATGCTGACATGTTCTCTTATCTTCAGCAATCTCAGATCTCTGAATTTTAGTGCATCCTGCATATCAGTCTACCAGAAGAATCATCTAAAATAATTTTTTATATTAAACTGAAGTATAACTCGATTTTTCACCAAGATTAAGTTCGAACTCCTCAACCTGTCATTTATCTATCCAGTGTTGATCTTTAAGGAGACTCTGGTGTTTTCTCAGTGCTTTTTCAGATTACGATGATTTTTCCAGCCTTCATCATGCTGTTCCTTGTTACACCTTCTTCCTCCCAAGACTGCCAGAGTGTTTCTCTCTACCTTTTTAGTCCGAGCCTGGCATTCCCACTCAGGTCTTCTTCCTTCATGAGAATCTGCCTCATCACTGCAGCTCACTTACATCTCTACCTTCCTGTCATTTCTGTAGAACTTAGTCTGTATCATAAGATGAGCACTTTTTATGTGCTGGTTTTGTTGTTCTCTAAATGCATGTATGCAGGTGTTTTTCTTTAAAATAGATGGTAAAAGTGACCCTAGCGGGACTTAGTTTTCACATACCCAAAGTTTATAATTTCAATGCTCTCTAGTTGCTCTGGCTTTAAAGAGTAAAGTTTAAAATATTAGACATTTTAGTCAGTATACAGTGTTGAGGTTTGGCAGTCACTTAATTTTCTTGGATTATGCCAGAAGTGCCATGAGATACCAAAGATGAAATTTTGTCTTTCATATCATGAGCACATACCAAAAAGTAGATTACAAATGAAAATACAGTGAAAATAGTCTCAGAACATGGTTCCCCTTAGAGACCAATCCTATTGTCCACTAATCCGGCCTCAGGACTCTGTCTTTATGTTGATAGGATTCTAAGCTTAAATCAGTGATGATGCTATGACATAAGTGTCATAATCACCTGGGCAGCTTTTACAAATACTGGTGCCTAGGCTCTAGTCCCCCAGAGATTCTGATATAATTAGATTGTGATGGTTATTTCTGAGCAAAGTTTATATACACCTTTCAATGAAAAATTAGGGGATCAGTTTTTTTTGGCTTGCAGATTTTATCCAAAATATCCATGTTTCCAGAATTTTAATGCTATTATTATCTATCATGGGATTAATAAGTAGTTTTCCCTCAGGCTGAACCAAGTGCTAATGCTCCGCTAGCACTTTGAGTATAGTGCCTTCATATCATATGGAACTCTGTTCAGGTTTCCATGTCTGGATGCTGGGCTTTTTGAAGAAAAAGTTGTGTCTCAGTAATGCTTGTATCCCCAGTGCTTAGTACACAGTGTTTTACCCATACTTTAAAAATAAATGGTTATTAAATGAATGACATCAAGGGAAAGACTAACCTAAACTAGATTACAAAGTTGACAAACATATAGTTATTATGTTTAAAAATATGGTAACTTTTTCTATAGTTTATTATATTTTAAAGAATTGCTATTGAACTGCTGATATAAAGGACATATTACACATTATTTAGATTCATCACTGAAAAGTCCTAATGGAAATAATGGTTAACCACATTATTAAGGTTTTTCTGAAATGCCAATTAAAAATGTCTGATGAATGTTATTTATGACTTTTATAAATACTATTAACAATTTATTTTAAAATTACTGTTCTTGGCTAGGTGTAATGGCTCACTCCTTTAGTCCCAGCTACGTGGGAGGCTAAGGTGGGAGGATTGCTTGAGCCCAGGAGTTCGAGGTTGCAGTGAGCTATGATGATGTCACTGCACTGGGTGACAGAGCAAGACCCTGTCTCAAAAAAAATTGTTTTTCAGTTTAATTTGACATTTTCTGTACTAATAATTTTCAAAAATGAATAATGCTAAAAATGGGTATATTACTAAAAAACATACTAACTGTTATCTAAGGATAAGAACATTTCAGAAGTTTTTAAAAATAAATAAATGCAACAGAAGAAGTCAATAATGAAATTATTTTCCATTTAAAGAAAAGAAATTTTATTTTTTGTTTTTTTGGTTTTGTTTTGTTGTTGTTGTTTTGTTTTGGTTTGGTTTTTTTTGAGTAGCTGGGATTACAGGTGTGCTCTACCACACCCAACTCATTTATCTGTTTTTCTGTGGAGACAGGGTCTCGCTCTTTCTCAGACTGGCCTTGAACTCTTGGCCTCAAGCAGTCCTGCCACCTCGGCCTCCCAAAGTGCTAAGATTACAGGCATGAGCCACTGTGCCTGGCCTAAACTGAAATTTGGTGTCTGTGGGACAGTGGTTCAATTTAGCAGGTGGACTCTGTGACCAGTATGCTGCATCTGTACCAGTATAAGCAGCAAGTGTGATGGCCAGCAAGTTATGACACTACATTTTTTCCCCCCTGGAAACGAATTCATTAAGAGATAGAAGAAATCTCTCAGCTTTGTGTATGAGTCAGTGTATGATTCAGTGTTCCTAGTCTTTCTACAGTTTATACACACACAAAAAGATCATCACAGGGAAGGACAAGCAGTCAGATACATGCATTAAATCCACAATGTTATTATTTACAACCCATCTCATGCTTCAGTAAACAATTTACTTCATAATTGTATCCTAAATAGAAGATAGAGTAAAGAGAATACATGGGAAATGGAGAATGATTCTAAAAACAGAAGTTGTGGATCCCCTGTTTAAAAGATGGGGATGTAAGGTAGTGATATAAATTCCTAACTCTTAAAATGAAAGCTTTTGCTCTTTTCTATATCACATGCTAGTATGAGGCTAAGGATGAATTGGTTTCATCTGTCCAGTGGTGAAATTATTTTCAGGTTTACCAAGTAGTATAATTTGAGTCAGATTAGGACTCAAGTCATGCACTTTAGTAGACAGCAAGGCCACATCACTTAACTTTTGGACCTGGTTTTACCAGGTTGTCCACGTAGAGATACTTTGTCTACCTAATTTTTCCTGTGTCATGGATGGAAATATGAGTCATAAATACAGGACAATATTCTGGAGACCTTTATCACAGAATGTGAAATATTCTGTCTTTTCTATGAAACGGCACAGTGTAAAGGAGTAATAATAATGAAATAATAGTTGCCATTTACTGGAGGCTTACCCTGTCAGTCACAACATTAAGCCAGAGGT